TAAAATTTGTGACATTCTAGCATGCTTACAGTGTCTTAATACCAATAAAGGTCTTGGTCCAGATGGAATATCGTAACTTATTTTTAAGGAATTGTGCATTCTTTTTATGTACGCCTCTATGGCTTATTTTTTATAAATATCTGAGGGTCACTTTTCATCACAATTTATTTATTGATTTTATCCATTGATTCAGCCATTAACTCATTGATTCCTAATTATCGTTCCATTATAATTCTTTCTACTATTCCTAAAATTTTCGAGGCTTTACTGACTGATTTTTTGACAATAAATCTGAAGAATCAGCTTCATACTGGTCAGCATGGTTTACTTACTGTCTAGTTGTTCAACTTCTACTAATTTACACTTATTATGTTATAATTGCATTAAAAAACATTTTTTATGTCGATTAGATTTATACTGACTTGTCGCATCTACTGTTCTTGCAAATTGTGTAGACCATATTCTTATTCGGGTATGATCAATTTCTTGAATCTGGATTCTCTTATCAAAAGTGTTACCTTTTAATCTCTATTTTTAAACTTGTTCATAAAATAACCAATCTCCTTAATTGCTTCAGCTAGTCTGTTTTAATATTCCTCCCATTCACTGTGTCAGTATTTATATTTCCATGTTCCTTACCGCAGAACTAATTATGATTCACACATAGATATGGTCTGAAACTTTTGTATCAATAGGTTTAGGTACTATTTGAAGCACTAAAATGCTAAATGAAACTTTTTATAAATGTGTACCTATTTATTCATGTATATTTTATTTTTATCTGTAATTTTGTGTATATTTCTATAATGTTCCATTTTTGTATAATTTTGACAGTGAATTTGTTTCATTTGTTATGAATAAATAAATATATGTAATAATAAATGTTAGTTCCTTTAAACATTTATGTTTTATTACTAAAAATTATTTTATATTTCTATAATGTTGCATTTTTGTATAATTTGGACAGGGGATTTGTCCCATTTGTTAATAATAAATAAATGTAACAATAAATGTAAGTTCCTTTAAACATTTACGTTTTATTTCCCAAAATACATTCTTAATATGCACAGGATGACACCACTTTTAGTATTTTATACAATGGCGTTGACGTCTAATTTATATCCTCAGCACTAAAATAGACGTCCGAGAACATCACAAAAGTCCGTCAAGTAAGTCCTCCGGACGTATTATGGACGTCCGATTAAGGTCCAATTAACGTCCCGGTACGTCCAACTAACGTCCGCTCGGGACGTAAAATGGACGTCCATAGGACGTTCGGCGCAGCGACATTCGGACCAATATAGGACGTAAAACGGACGTAAATAGGACCAAAGCGGACGTCCGAGGGACGTCCTTAAAGCCCGTGAGGGACGTACTATGGACGTCCATTGGACGTACGTGTGCTATTAGGGATACTTACTTATGTTTATGCGTTTTTATTCATATCTCGAGTTCGACAAAAGCTATTAACATGCGGTTTGCGCCATTTTGTTACGAATTTAATTCAGTTTCATTATGATTTACAATAAATAGGTGTTTCCATTAAACATTTTGAAGAAAAATAAATTTTAATTTTTTCTATTTGAAAGTACCCTCTACCTACGACAGTTAAAACTAAATGCAACTATTTTATAGATGTGAATTAATTCGTCCACACTCTTTCTAATGACACTAATTTCGTTAAAATCGTTTGATCCAAACCAAAGTTATAGGTATTTATCTACAAATACTTTCCTACTCTCCCCCACACTTTATTTGAAAAAATAATAAAAAAGTACTTGAACGACTTTGTGCAGAATTTAGGCCTCTTTCTAGTTTACTTATTTAACACTTGGTATAATTAGGCATATTTCCCAAAAAACGGGGTTTCAAAGTTTTCTTCACAGGTTACGCCCTCTAGCAGATAACCCAGAAACTTAAAAGTTATTTCCAGCGATTTCTCTTGGCCACTTTTACTAAGGAATTTTTTCTCCTAAAGTTATAACATGAATAGTTTCTGATATATAGCCGAGAGATCGGCTTATTGGACCACCCGGTACATACATAATACATTTTGAACCTAAAAAAAAACTTTTATAAGTTACTTAGCACCAGTCTTTTTTTCTTTCATTGCATACAAGAGAAGAGCTACAAAAGGCCTACAAGTTATTTATCTCATGTACAGAAAAAAGACCCCTTTTCTTAATGTACTGAGGCGGTGCAATTAAACAAACAATCTCCTCTGGATCATACCAAATAATATAATCTGTCTCTGGCCATCCCCAATAATATCCTATTTTTTCCATAGCCTTGATTTTGAATTAATCTTCTAATATTTCTTCAACCACTCCTGGAAAATTTTCCTCCTCGTAAACTACAATGACCTTAGTCACCTAGTTCCTAGTCGCCCACCCCCTTCATTCATAGAATTGTTAGATTTCGGCTTTCTAGTTCTTTCATTTGTTTTTCTGCCAGAACTAACATTTTTATTTAAAATTTCATTGTCTGTTTTATTTGCACTATCTATCTCTCCTCTTTGTTTTTCTTCTTTCTCAATGTTTAGGTTTAATTTAACAGCTTTGAAAATTTTAATTTTTCTGTTTTCTTGCTATCAGATTTTGCATTTTTCTTCGTAATGTTAGGTGATTTTTTTCCTTCAAACTTTTGTAAATTCCTTGTTTCTTTTTCTTTTTTTTTTCCAGCCTTTGAGATATTTTTTGGGGAAATAAACTGCATTTTTAAATGGCGTTAAAAATTTTGGAGAGGTGATGATGTTAAAATATTATTCAGTAGAATTTATGAGAGATTGATTTTTAAAATGGGTTCAGAAATTATCAACTATTTTGTGTCATGTAGCTTTAACAGGTCGGAATATAGCAACATCAAGCGGCTGCATAATATGTATAGAATTAAGAACCAGTGCTATACCAAAACAATTCCATTTTCGCGACAAAACTCGCTCACAGCCAGAGATATATGGCTAACATGTTGATCTAAAAATAACACAACAGGTCGCTTAATGTTTTTTTTTGTTCAACCATTCATTAAAATAGTTTGCGACATACTCATAAATCATTTCTATATTCATCCATCCACTTTCATTATATCCGATGCCCCAACCTATTGGTATAGTTGGAACTAAATGTTTTGGTAGCTTCGTATAGAGAAACAAAACCATTGGTGGTGGGATATCCACACTAGCGGATATTATTGCTAATACGATCAGACATACTCTTTCGTCGTTAGCAGTTCTGTTATATTCAGTTTTATACCCTCTTTTAACTAACACTTGTTTGTCCTGCGGAGTCTTGAAAAAGGTTGTCTTGTCACAGTCGAATATTCGGCTTGGTTCTTTAAACACATCTGTGATGCCATTTTGACTGAAATAATCATATACTTTCTTGAACCAATTTCTGATTCTTTATATACGAGGTGCAGTTGAAAAAATAGCCATGGCTAAATGGGCTTGGGCCGGACATGTTGCCAGATTAACGAATGATAGATGGACCAGAAAGATTCTGAAATGGCGACCAAGGCAAGATGCATATCGCAGCAGAGGACGAGCACCGACTAGATGGACGGATGACATCAAGCGTATCACCACAAACTAGATGCAAGAAGCTCAAGATAGAAATAGGTGGAAAATTTTACGGGAGGCCTACGTTCAGCAGTGGACAAATATAGGCTAATTGATGATGATGATGATGATGATATACGAGGTCTTACTTCCGGATGCTGGGTTATTAAATGTTAGTGCCATCTATTTCCAGAAATTCCATTCTTAAATGGATTAGCTCACTTTAGATTTTTAATGAGCATTTTATTAGCATGACTAATATCTTCTTTAAAATGTCATGAGGATAGACGTGTATATGTAGATGAAGGAATAAATGGTAAAAACCATACATTGTTGGTGGATACCGGAGCGACCGGAGCATTATCTCTGATATCTTGTACGGAATAACTGGAACAAAGACAATGATATTACAATGATACCAAACATAAGGTTTCAACTTCTAGATAATATTGTCCAATTCCAAATTTTCTAAATGCTTATAAAAGCTTAATCTTATATTGAAAGAAAAGTAGGTACTTCATTCCTGTCCATGATTCTATTTGTAAATTGGCAAACTATTTCGCTGGGACTGACGTTGCGGGACCGAATAAGAAACGAAGATCTGCCAAGAAGGACGAGTATTGCTGATGTTGTGAAACGCATCATAGCGAAACTAAAATGGAATTGGGCAGGCCATGTACGAGAATGCATGACTTACAATGGATGAGCAAAATTACACATTGGAGGCCAAGAGCAGACAAACGTAGTGGAGGAAGACCACCTTAATCTACTACGTTGAGCTGACGACATCAAGCGTATCACGAAAAATTGGCAACAAAGAGCACAAAATCGCAATGGAGGAGTTTAAGGGAGGCCTATGTCTAGCAGTAGACTTGATAAATGAAAGCTGGATGATAATGTAAAAAACCGATAGTAAAAAATAAGATTAACATTATGGGTAAGTATTTTGACTATTAACCCCATACATAAATAAATGCTTTGACAATGTCTGCAATCCGCAGCTGTAGACCAAACGTTGGGAAGAACAATATTTCCAAACCAATTCATAAAAACTCTAGAAATAATGTAACATTGTAACGGTGGTGTTTAGAATATAAAATATGACGTTAGGTGAGTATTGTGATGTATTGTGTAATTGTGTTCCGAACATATTGTATTCTTTAGTTTGCTACGGAACACGCTTAGAGGTTAGGTATCGTTGAGGGATAGATAAAATGTCATTGTGGAAAAATGTCAGAAATAAAGGATTACATCCAAACATGTTTTTATTTAAAAAGTCTTAAATAAATCCACTATTCTCAAGTACAGACATATTAATTGGCGACGAGGATAAAACGGGTCCACAAGAGGTCAAAAGTATAAGTATAAGAAGTCAATGAAAGCTAATAAAAGTCGAGAAGTCTGAAAGTAGGTACGTTGCTCCAGTAGAACAAAGAAAAAAAAAATGGCTTTAATTGGGAATGTAGAAGCCATCCAAATAGACAAAACAGAGATTGAGACATATCTAGAAAGAATGGATCACCTTTTCAAGTGTAATAAAGTGGAAGATGAAGAAAAAGTGGATCTTTTTGTAACCTTTAATTGGAGGTGAGGCATATAAAATGTTGAAAAACTTAACAAAGCCAGCAACAGTGTCTTCTAAGAGTTATGCAGAATTATAGAAACTACTAAACGATAGAATGGCACCAAAAAAGTCTGTCATATATGAAAGTTACAAGTTTTACAAATTAAACCAAGGTACCAGTACTATTGCTCAGTATATTGCAAATCTAAAAGAACAAGCATCTTTATGCGAATTTGAAATGGTCAATGATTATCTTGACAGGGCGTTAAGAGATAAATTTGTCTGTGGAATATCTGAAAAAAGAATTCAAGATCGGCTTTTGTCAGAAAAAGATCTCACATTTGTTAAAGCTTGTAACATTGCACTTGCCCAAGAAATCATATACCTGGAAAGCAAAGAAATTCAGCACGAACCAGATAGTGTTCATAAAGTCTATGAAAAAGTTAACCCACAAAAATTAAAAACAAATACTAAATCTAGTCCAAGTATTGTTAGTCGCCAAAGTAATAAAAATGGTCAAAGTAATGGAAGTCACCCAAATATTCCTTCAAGTCAGTCTAGAAGCAGGTATAGAAATTGTTGGAGATGTTCTAGATTTCACAATGCAGATATCTGTCCTGCTAAAGAATGGAAATGTTTTGTCTGTCAGAAGCAGGGTCACACATCTACAGTGTGTAGATATAGAAATGTAAACTTCACAAAAGAAGAAGAAGAAGAAAACCAACAAGAAAATGTATATGAATTTAATAGCATTGTACAAGAAGAAGGTAATGTCGAGTCAGAAGTGGGAGAAGCAAACCAGATAATTGAAATCAACAATATTAAGTCTATTCCAGCCTTAATAAACGTCAAAGTGGAAAATAAGGAAGTAACTATGGAAGTTGATAGTGGAGCTACTGTAAGTCTTATGTCTTTTATTGAATTTAAGGAAAAAATTTTGTATTTGACAGTAAATAAAACTAGTAGTAAGTTAAAAACTGTTTCAGGAAGTATATTGACTGTAATAGGTAAGGTTAATGTTAACGTAAAATCAAACAATAATGTTTATAAGTTATCTTTATTTATAGTAGATACTAAGGAGAAATTTACTCCCTTGTTAGGTAGGTCTTGGCTTGATGTAATAAAGCCGAACTGGAGGGAAATTTTTAAGGTAAATAATAGTCAAGGTGAGGTAAATGCGGTCAAGTTTACAGAGTTGGAACATTTTAGGGCACTCTTCCCAAAAGTTTTTAGTCAGGACAATAGTCAAGCCATAGAAGGGTGTCAAGCCAATTTAGTTATTAAAGAAGATGCTCAAATGATATTTCACAAAGCATATGATGTACCTTATGCTCTTCGAGAACAAGTAAGTAAGGAACTTAGTCAAATGGAAAAGTCAGGTATCTTAGTACGAACCACACAAGCAGAAATAGCAAGTCCAATAGTCATAGTAAAAAAGAGCAATGGAGGAATTAGGATATGTGGAGACTTTAAAAAAACCTTGAATCCTATTTTGAAACAGGATCATTACCCCCTCCCAAACCTGCAAGATATTTTTCATAAATTAGTCGGAGGTAAAGTTTTTACAATTTTAGATTTGTCAAATGCCTATTTGCAGTTAAAAGTCAATGAAACTTCAAAAAAATTGTTAACAATACATACGCACTGTGGGTTATGTTACGTTTGGAATGTCCTACGATTAATTATCGCAAGAGACTCCTGGTTCGAAAGAATACAAAATTAAATTTCTATTACAAAAATTACTTTCGTATTAAAATACACAAATGTGACTTTAAAAGTTTTATTCAGTTTCCTTCGGTTCGGTGGTATAAATTCGACTAAAAACTAACTCTAAACAAATTGAATATATTCTTATACTATATGAAATTCAATACCCTACATTCTCAGACGAAAGTCATTAAAATTAATTGCTTTCACAAGCCCTTAGCCGGAGAGACGATACGCTGATTACAAAAGGGGATTTTTAAAATAAACATATTACTTAAGTATTAACTCGACATACTCCCACCTTGAGAAATTTAACATAATTTCTCAAAAAATAAGAGAGTTACAAAAAATAAAATCATGAAAATATTACTTAAATCTTAAAGGAGTTTTCACCATCCGGCCACAACGCGTATATCTTCCATTTAAGTCGGGTACTCTGCTTTTTATCACTCCCGCACTTTTTTCACTTGGTTCTTCCTCAAACTGGAGTTGACCAACGTTCTCTTGGGGTAACCTCTCTGGAACCGTCTGACTTCCACAAGGTAGAGTATTACCTTGGACATTCTCGCCAGTAGTAACTGCATCGACGATCTCCACCGGGTAAAGCCTTTGTAATGGTCTCAGAAGTTGCCCTTGTGCAGTCGCAAGACGAACTAATCTTACCTGGCCATCCCTACCAGGTATAAGTTCAATAACTTTACCTAAAGGCCACTGAAGACGCTTGATGTTGTCATTGCCGACTAAAACGACATCCCCGATAGACACTTTAGATACCTTCGGCTTCTTCGTTCCTGCTTTGAGTTGAGCCAGATATTCAGCACGAAATCTTTTTCGCAAATGATTTCTCAACTCTTGTAAACGTCGTATTTTGCGTGTGAGAGAATTCTGCTCTAGCAAATCACATTCCGGCAACTCGTAACTGACTTGTTCCTTTAAAAACATACTTGGGGTTAACGCGATTAACTCAGTAGAATCGTCCGAAAGATACGTCAACGGACGCGAGTTGACTATACTCTCACAATCACACAATAATGTCAATAAGTCTTCATAATTGAGAGACGCTCGACCTAAAACTTTTCGCAAAAGCCCTTTAACAATACCTACTAATCGTTCCCAAAATCCACCCCACCATGCAGCTGTAGGGGGGTTGAAACGCCACTTAATACATTGTGTAGAACTATATTCCGCGATAGTATTCCAGTCCAATTGCTTAAGCGCATTCTCGAATCCCGTAAAATTTGTTCCATTGTCACTATAAACTATTCTCGGTCGTCCTCGCCTTGCAACAAAGCGACGAAAGGCTTGAATAAAAGTATTTGTTGACAACGAGGTAACGAGTTCCAGATGAACCGCACGATAAACGGCACAAGTGAACAAACAAATCCATGCTTTCTCTCCCGATTTCAAGTAAAGAGGTCCCGCTAAGTCCACTCCGGAAATTTCAAAAGCTGTAGTATCCCGAACTCTATCAGCCGGCAACGGAGGCGTTTGTACTTTGAACGATTTCCCTTCTTGTCTCTTGCACACACCACATTCTTTTAAAATGGACCGCACAATCCGTCTACCCCCTAAAGTCCAATATTTTTCGCGAAGCAAACTAAGTAGTCCTTGTGTGCCTACATGACAAGAGCTTTTATGCAGGCTTAAAATTAACTTACGCACTATAAAATGTTCACCCGGAAGTAAGATAGGCAGACGAAAATCTTCCGTGTCAAGTCTCTCAGTAACGCGAGTTTTTATACGTATAAGTCCAAATTCATCGACAAACGTGTTTAGCGAGGAAATTCGTTTCGTATCTGAATCGAACGCTTCGTTCTGCACTAGCTTCAATACAAATATTTCGGCTTGATCGATTTCCTCAGCGACCAATTCACCTGTACGTTTTTTGTGTGAATTTCTTGCATTATAACAAAATCGTAGCACCCAAGCTATCATTCTTAAAAGTTTTATGTACTGAGAAAAGTAATACAGATGCCAATCGTCAGATGTCATATTCAATAGTGACGAACTGGCATTTTTCTTTTTCTCTGTACAGACTTTTTCTTCATCAACTTCTAATTTTTGTTGGGGCCAATCATTTTCTTTTCTGTACAACCATTCCGGGCCCTCCCACCATCGAGAGTCGAACAATTGCCGAACACCACAGCCTCTTGATGGGAGATCGGCAGGATTGAGAGAACCAGGTACATATTTCCAACACTCAGGATTGACTAAATTTCTAATCTCTTGAACTCTATTAAAAACAAAAACAGACCAGTCATCCTTACGTTGAATCCAAGAAAGAACAGTAGTGGAATCACTCCAAAAATAAGACTCAACATATTGAGAAAATTGCCTTTTTACTGACTGATAAAGTCTAACACCAATAGTGGCTGCCAACAGTTCCAATCTAGGTATAGAAATCTTCTTCAAAGGGGCCACACGACTCTTAGCTGCTACAAGGAAAATTGAGACAACATCATTCCGAACCACTCTCAAAAATATTACAGCCGCATAAGCTTTCTTACTTGCATCTGAAAATATGTGCAAGCTCCAATGATCAGCTTCCGTCGGTCCAGCCTCAATCCAGCGTGGAATCTCAATACTCGACAGTTCAGGAAGATGAGTAACCCAATCACAAAATTCTTCAGCCATATCATTCTCGACTGGAGCATCCCATCCCTGGCGCTTCTCCCAAAGTTTCTGTAGCAACAGTTTGGGAAATAGGGATACGGGACAGGTAAAACCAATAGGGTCAAATATACTCTGAGCTATGGAAAGCATCAGTCTCTTAGTTATGGGACGTTTCAATGCCATTTCTTGAAAAGTTTCACTATTGATTTTCAGAGTGTCTCTTGAAGAGTCCCAGAGAAGACCAAGAACCGGAACAACTGTTTTTGTATTACCAGAGGCCTCCCACCCTCTTAAGTCCATCTTAGCTTCCTCCATAAGGGCGGTTGCTTCTGATACAAACACTCTCAACTCATTTTCATCAGTAACACTGGTCACACAATTATCCACATAAAACCCAGTCATAAGCTTTTTAATTGTGTTTTTAGAATATGGATTATCATTGCAACATTTCTCCAGGGCCTTTGTTAAATGAAACTCTATAGTGGCACCCAGAAGAAATGGACTACAATTGATTCCAAAAACAACCCTTTTGTGTCGAAATACAAATTCCTTTCCTTCATCGTTCACCCATAGGAACCTCAAAAAATCTCTGTCCTTTGAATGTATAGAAATTTGAAGAAAAGCCTTTCGAATATCCGACACAACTCCTACCCTTTGTTGTCTGAATCGTAATAGAACAGAAGGAATAAGTTCAATAAGATTAGGCCCTACCTCCAAACACTGATTTAAAGAAGGACAACCTTGTTCATGAGATGATGCGTCAAAGACTGGCCTAATTTTTGTGGTTTCACTATTATTTTTAATAACGGGCCTGTGAGGTAAATAATGCACACAATTATTCTCTTCTGGATTATTCACTATTTCAATCACACCCTCGCTCAACCACTCATTGAATATAAAGTTATACATTTCAAACAAATTAGACCTTTTCAACTTATTTAAAGTATTATCTAACCTTCTCCTAGCAACAACTAAATTATCTGAAATTAAAGGATGCTCGTTCAACCAAGGTAACATAACTTCATACCTGCCTTCGCTGTCACATCGTACAGTCTCATAGAAAAAATTCTTAGCCTCTTTGGCTGCCACCTCTCGTGTCATTTTTTCTACAGTGTCGGTTATCCCAATAACATCAAGCTCCCAGAGTTTCGCTACAGAAGAATTATTAACAAACAACGAAAATGTAATCATACTTGTACTGGAATTAGAAGCAACTGCCGGCACCTTACCCATAAGAGTCCAACCTAACAAAGTTTCAACTGCTACAAGACCACACTGTAACTGATATTTTCTCCCTGTATACAATTTGCCTACAATATCAGCTCCTAACAAAATCTCAATCGGTGTTGTCTTTCCGACATCGCTGAGTGAAATATTCATGTCACTGAGTTCCTCAATCCAAGGGCCGTCATAAATAGAAGAGACATCGGCACAAATTTTTGGTTGATCTAATGCATCAAATGAATAAGCGTAGGTTCCTTCACACGCAGTTACCTCGTACAATTTATGTCGTTGTTCAGAAGTGCTTCTACCGCCAAATAATGCGTGTACAATCTTTTCCGTTCCTTTAGCAGAAAAACCCATTTCTTGCGCGGTACTTTGTAAAATATATGTCCTTTGCGATCCAGTGTCAATAAGTGCCCTTACTTGTTTAGTACCATGTGCACTTCTTATGTTTATTCGCAGAGTTTGTAAAAAAACCTGTGTATTATTCAAATTAGCAAGCGTCTGATCCTCAGTTATATTTTCTTCCGAACGGGTAGTACTTGAGGTCGATGTATCAATTTTATTAACAGGCAAATTAGGGCACATCAAAACAGCATGTGATTTACAACATAATATACAATTCAAACGTCCTCTACACTTTTTAGAAGAATGTCCTACTTTCAGACATCGAAAACATGCTTTCTTTTCTGACAATGTTCGACGTTTCTGCTCCATAGTAAATTTTTGTGCTTTAAAACAATTTGTACTGTCATGCTGCGCTTCACAAAATACACACCTGTAAACCTCATAGTTTACTAACCCAGCAGCGGTCGCTAAGGGCTGATCAGTTCCTTGCTTATGTAATTTTACAGTTTTCTTGGCAACGAGGTTATTAAATTTATATTTATTTTCAGTCGGTAAACCAAAACCTTCCGTTGCTAAATCAATTTTTTGTTCATTTTGAACTTCACTTTGTAAAAAGCTCATTAGCCCATCCAATCTTGTTTCTAAAGTTGTAACCTCTGCCGTTTCTGCGATATTTTCCATGGACCCGGAAACATAAGGCCTTAAAAACTGTGAAGATCTATGCCATAGTCGAATCATATATTCTGGCAAACATGACTCGATAAGAGGATACAATATCGCCGCATACTTGTCAGCAGTTATGCCTAAGGTCTCAAGTGAACGAAGTTGACTTTCAATCATATCATAAAGAGCAGAAATATTACAAGAACTACTAGAAACTCGACTCAAAATTAACTTTAAGAGCTCTCTAATATAAACTTCAATCTGGAGATCCTCTCTGCCAAACCTAGACTGCAAACTCTGGATAATTTTTGAGTAATTGTCGGCTACTGCAGGAAAACTCTCCACTAATCGTCTGGCCTTACTAGACTCTACAGTGGCTTGTCTCAAATAAGCTATCTTATCAGTCAAATCAATTGATGGATCGTCATGCACTACTTTGAACTGTGACCAAAAAGGAAGCCAATCTTTCAAGTCTCCATTAAATTTCTTGAATTCGATTGGAGGTAATTTAAATTTGCGCTTACCTTTTATACTTGATGACTCTGAACTTACTGAACCTGGTCTGTCATCACATTTGTACTTAAGTTCAAAGTACCTTGCACTATATTTATCTTTTGTCTCCATCTCACTGATTAATTCTTCTTCGGAAGCTTCTTCCAACATACTTTCAAGTACCGCACTTTCCACTTCACAAAGCTCATTGTACTTTACTTGTAAAAGTTCCCACTGTACGCTAATATTCTGCCAGGGTCGAATGTCCACCGGTTGAGCTAACAAACTGTCCAAAACAGTAGCAACTTTCGTAAATGCACTACGAAGAACCGTTCTGCGTTTTTTAACTGATTCCATTTTTTCGCTTAAAAAGGTTAACTTTGGCCGAGCCTCACGACAAAAACAAAATTATTCGCCGGAAAAAAGTTTGCACTAAAATAAACGAAAATAACTAACTTTTAAGCACACCCGTATATAAGTCCTGTCACGGTCGCCAAATGTTACGTTTGGAATGTCCTACGATTAATTATCGCAAGAGACTCCTGGTTCGAAAGAATACAAAATTAAATTTCTATTACAAAAATTACTTTCGTATTAAAATACACAAATGTGACTTTAAAAGTTTTATTCAGTTTCCTTCGGTTCGGTGGTATAAATTCGACTAAAAACTAACTCTAAACAAATTGAATATATTCTTATACTATATGAAATTCAATACCCTACATTCTCAGACGAAAGTCATTAAAATTAATTGCTTTCACAAGCCCTTAGCCGGAGAGACGATACGCTGATTACAAAAGGGGATTTTTAAAATAAACATATTACTTAAGTATTAACTCGACAGGCTATATAAATTTACACGATTACCGTACGGTGTGTCTAGCGCTCCAGCAATTTTTCAGATGTTGATGGAACAAGTTTTGTCTGGTATAGATATGACAGGTGTTTACCTGGATGATGTCATTATTGCTGGGGAAGATCTTACTGATTGTAAGAATAATATGCTAAAAGTTTTTGAAAGACTGAATAAATATAATATTAGAATTAATCAAAATAAATCATGCTTCTTTCGTGAGTCTGTCGAATACTTGGGACATGTATTAGATAAAGAAGGTGTTAAACCAATGCAAAAGAAAATAGAAGCTATTCAGAAAGCTCCTGCGCCCAAAAATCTAACTGAATTAAGAGCTTATTTGGGATTGCTAAATTATTATTCTAAATTTATACCCATGTTATCTACAGAACTATATTCCTTATATAAATTGTTACAGAAAAATCAAAAATGTGAATGGGGTGAATAACAACAAAGGGCTTTTGAAAAAAGTAAGACACTTTTACTGAATAGCAAGGCTTTAGCTATTTATGATCCAACAAAGGAGTTGGTTGTCACATGTGATTCGTCTCAGTATGGATTGGGAGCAGTATTAAGCATAATAGTAAATGATGTAGAGAGGCCAGTTCTATTTGTTTCATGTACACTAAACAAACATCAACAAAACTATGCCCAGGTTCAAAAAGAAGCACTGGCAATCATATTTGCTGTAAAAAAATTCCATAAGTTTATTTATGGAAGAAAGTTCACATTAATTTCAGATCATGAATCTCTTAAATCAATTTTAGGTCCAAAATCAGGGATACCAACACTTGCTCATTCAAGACTTCAAAGGTATGCGTTAATTCTTTCTGCATATCAGTATACAATAAAGCACAAAAAGGGTAAGGATATTGCAAATGCTGATGGGTTATCAAGGCTTCCTTTAAGTGAAGCCAGTATGGACGAGGAAGAGGTTTATGCATTTACGTTAGATCCAGAAGTACCTCTTACAGCAGAGGACATTGCAAAGGAAACTGGTAAGGATATGAGTTTAGTTAAAGTTTTGGAGCTAACTAAGTTTGGTTGGCCTACACATATGAAGGACGAACTGTTATTACCATACTTTAGAAAAAGATATGAATTAAGTATAGAGGAAGGCTGTTTAACATGGGGTAATCGAGTTGTAATTCCTAGATCTATGAGAGAAGAAGTGCTAGAAGTTCTACATGATCAGCACCCTGGAATAGTTAGAATGAAAATGCTGGCTAGGAGTACAGTTTGGTGGCCTGGTATTGACACAGATATTGAGGAAAAGGTGGGTAGGTGTGAAGCTTGTCAATTAAGTGCCAGGAGACCTCAAGAGGTTGAATTAACACCCTGGAGGCCCGCTACTAGACACTGGCAAAGAGTACATATGGACTTTTACCAGATTAATCAGATATACTTTTTTATATTAATCGATTCATCATCAAGATGGCTGGAAATCTTTCCTATGACAAATGGCACAAATGCGAGTAAAATTTTGGAAAAACTGAGACAGGTTTTTGCTACGTTTGGTCTACCGGAGTCATTGGTGGCTGATAATGGGCCCCCCTTTTCAAGCAGAGAAGTTAAATTATTTTGTGCTTCTAATGGTATCAAGCTGATTAATTCTCCACCATATCATCCCACATCAAACGGAAGTGCAGAGAGGGCAGTGGGAACTGTTAAGTCAGCGCTAAAGAAGTTGGTATTAGAGGAACGAAAATTGGGGATTAAACTAAGTTTGGAGCATCGACTGTCAAATTTTCTTTTTAGTTACCGAAATACACCCACAACGACTACTCAAAAGTGCCCAAGTGAAGAATTACTCCGCCAACCACCTAGGACTAAATTAACACTGCTAAAACCAAAGATAGCAGCAGAAAGTAAAACTAGAGAACGAGTACAAAAAGGAGTAGAGAGGGAGACAGGAAGAAGACCTTTGAGTTGTTATGTGGAAGGAGAAGATGTATTAGTTTACCTAAGTCACGAGAAACAGTGGACTACTGGAAGGATTGTGAGATCTCTTAGTAGGGTAACATATTTAGTTTGGGTAAATGGAAATATAAAATTCCTACATGCCGATTCATTAAAACCATCTAAGTTGGGTGGCAAGGAAAATGAGGTAAAGTTTAGGTTAGAAGAAGACACTGAATGGAATTCGGAAGCAGAGGTAGAGAAAATGAAAAGTGAAGTATTAACTGGGGAAGTAAAAACTAAGTTAGATGCAACAGCAGAGCCCTCAATAGAGCAGCCTACTAGTACATTTTCAAATGTGGAACCAGAACCTGCAAGCTTGACTATGCCACCAGAGCCTTGCTTGCGGAGATCTTCCAGGTCTATTAAACCTCTAGAAAGGTTAAATTTATAAGTATAAGAAAAAGAAATTAAGGGGAGAAAAGTGTGATGTATTGTGTAATTGTGTTCCGAACATATTGTATTCTTTAGTTTGCTACGGAACACGCTTAGAGGTTAGGTATCGTTGAGGGATAGATAAAATGTCATTGTGGAAAAATGTCAGAAATAAAGGATTACATCCAAACATGTTTTTATTTAAAAAGTCTTAAATAAATCCACTATTCTCAAGTACGGACATATTAAGTATGTACCTACATCATTATTAAAAAGGTTTTTCTGAAGCATCTCAACTTTTATCAAATATTATTTGTTGTATAAGTTCTAACTGTTAACATATATTTTGTGGATTCTTGTTTTAAACGAGAAAAATTCTTTACGTTTTTAAATTAATAAATTTATAAAAAATATAATTTCAAAATATCACATGATAGCATCTAATGTGTATACATGATTACCTGACATACAGATAAAAATAAAATCTAATAACTTTAAGAATTGCTGCTAGATGGCAGCCAATGGCAAATGTAGCAATAAATGCTGTAAGGCACCATATACACAAAACCAGTATCAAATGAACATGCTAACTTTTCGTAACTGCTACAGACCTTATTAATTTTTTTGGCCATAAGCACAACTACCAAACAATTATTGTTTTTTAATCATATGTTATTAGCTGATATATTTTAAAGCCATCTACTGGAAATGATTTAAAGTTCCATCAAAGAATATTCTTTGGTTCCATGATCTCTTATGACATGATATATTTTTGACATTGACAGTTTCAATTAAACCAATGACGGTATTGACAGTAGTGAAAGAACTAGAAGTATTTTGTTAATTTGTTTCCGTCATAAGTTATAAATAAATTATCCTTCTATTGATATTTACCGCAAATCTTTTTGCCAAAATGCGTAATTAAGTAAATTAAAGTGTAAGGTACGTTAATGCATGGTTATTATGAGCCCAAAGTGCCCAATAACACTTGTCACTGTATTGAATGACCCTAGTGTCAAAAGAATAATGGAAGGTTAATAGTTTTTGGAGTCAAAGTTCCTTAAATAACGCATTTCGCTTGGTTTGATCACTACAATTAGCTTGTTGCAGACAAATTTATTAAGAGACATAATATTTGTCTATAGACTTTTTACCAGCACAGTGCGACATGTTCCTCACTAAGTTTGATAAGACTGATAACTTTATCCTGTTTATTTTTCACAGCATGCTTGTTTTCTTTTATTTAAACAGTTTGCATCCGCATGTGTAGTGTAGATTTGCTATTATTTCGTGAATTAAGTGTTTATAATATAATTGTCAACATGCAGTCTTGTGTTGGAGTGGATGCTTCAAGTATGGGCTCTGTTTGGAAGAGACTCCAGCGAGTCAACAAAAGGGCTGCCAAGTTTCAGTTTACGGTCTCCTACCATCAGCTGGCAGTGGATTTTACTTCCAAATGGTGAGTCTTTAATTCATCATATTTTATTAACATTTAACACATTCAAATCTAAATTGTTGGTACTATAGAATTTTAAGTAACTAAATGCAAATTAATGTCATATATACTTTCTTTCCTTTCTTTATTCCTTTGTTTAAGTTTTTGATAGTTTCCAGTACTTGATAAAAACATTTTTATTCCTTAGGTGACATTCAATTTTTGCATACAATGTGCAAAATGTTTTAAACCTTTGTTAGTACTTACTATTATTTACATAATAGTAAGTACTTGGAATAATACATAATCTCATGGTAATTTGAAGTATGTCTTTTTGCACCATGGTGGTTATTTCTTATATACAATATACATAATAATTGCATACTCATGTTTTCTAATATCATTTCAAATGTAATAGTTTATTGTTTATTAAAAATGACAAATTGATAACTAGATATGTAGCTGATAAGTTAAGTCAACTAAGTTGCTATTTACCTCCAATCTATAATTTGTTGTTTTCTATCACCCTTCTTTTATCTGTCAACTTGGAACTTTGTTTTTGTAATATGTTTCCTATAGAATGATTAATTATTATCAACATATTTTGTCTAATTTTCTCCAATAATTTATATCCCCTAGTTTTCTTTGCTTGTCTTTTGCTAGAACTTGTTTAATTGAGAGATTACCAGAGTTGTATTTTTTCATCTTTTGAAACAGTGTAACTATACACAGGTTTATAAACCATTAAGTAATAGTGACAATGACGCACTTAGAATTTTCTTAGAAGTGCAACTAACTTTGGAGTAAAGTGTTGGAATTTTTCTTACAAACTAATAATTAATTTATTTCTCAAAAACTAGTTGAGATATGCAAATGAAATTTGGTGGATTTTAAGATATAGTTATTGTGTATTTTTGCAGTACACTTAGAATTTTATAGTTATTATTGGTAGTCATACAGTAATGTTTCTGCTTTTTAAAGAAAAAAGTGGTATGCCACTGAGATATTTCAAACTAAAAATCATTTTTGAATTCTTTATTTAATGTATGACAAAAAACATCTTAATGCATTTTTTTTATTTTTGAGAACATTTTTTACATCCTTAAGAACTATCTAATACAATAACATAAACCAAAATAATAACAGAAAGTACCACTAATCAAATTTTTAATGGGCACAAACCTACAAAAAATATTTAAAATGTCCTGGAAATGTGACACAACATTCAACTCTTAGCCACATTAGTTGTCATATTTGTGCAAATATTCCTCGCAGCCGGTTATAATTCGATTCCGCAACATTTTCGATAGTAATGGAATAAATCTCTGAAACTGAAAAAGGACTTCAGAAAATCAAAAATGCAAAAATCTAGAGGATTTAAATCTGGTCAATCCTATGGCCAACGGTTTGGATACAGTGTATCTAAATGAGTACATACATTTCTTTAAAAATAATAAAGAACTCTTTACACACCATTTTTTTTAAATTGAGACTTTTTCCAATATGTGCATGAATGATGAATATAACATTCCTAATTGTATGTCAAAAAATGCGTAATAACTAACTTTTAAAATCCACCACACTTGATTATTTACATATATTAACCAGTGTCAGAGAAATAAATAATTTGTCAGTTTGTAAGAAACATTTAAACACCCTGTATTTCAGAAAATTAATGGTTTGTGGACATCCATTTGTATAGCAAACTGTCTTTTTTTTAACATGCATAATAACCGCCTAAACTTTTTTGCACTTATTTTTATAACACCCTGTATATATTATTCAAAAATATAAGTATATTCAAATAGCCTAAAAACTGACAATTTGAAGCTCTCTAGCTCAGTAAGAAATGATTTTTGGATCTTGGGGATATAAGAAATTTTGATCAGCATGGTAAAGTTACTTACCTCTCTGCAGTTTTAAAGTTTCAGTCAATTTACCTGTAACCACTTTTACATAAGTAAAGTTCCAGGGTCCTTTATCTTATATGTAAAGTTCATATTGATAAACTCTAAATGCTTTCCAATTTAATTCCATATTACCTAAAAAATTTCTGTAACTGAAATGTTTTTTTTAGTAGCTGCCTTTTGAAACTGATTTTTTTTTCTTTGGATATGTATTTATACAATTGGTTATGGATTTGAAATAAAACACACATCTTATTAGTTTCTATATAAATATAAATACTCTTATATCTTATAAATATAGCAAATATCTTATTTCTATATACTTAAATACTCTATATTGTTATTCCAAGATGCAAATTGCCTAACTCACAAAATAACAGTTTTGCAGGAGAGCCAAAAAACTATGACAATTTTAAATTTATTTAAAGTAAAGTTAAGTTTAAATATTTTTTCCATTGATTGTTTTTAAAAAAGGTTGTTAATTCCATTATGTGCAATTTCATTATAATTTTTATTTTTTACTACAATTAAATGGATATAGGCAATTTGCTTATTTATTTTTTGACTACTTTAGGACTTAAGTCATCTTCAGTCAACAAATCACTACAAAAAACCGCATTTATAATTAACATTATTAATAACAAAGAGGACTGTATCTAAGCAGAAACATTTTAATCAACATTTTCACAACTTAAAAAAAATTAATCATAATATTTAGATATTAGAAAAACTGTAATCAACATTTTTACAACATAAAAAAATTTATAAGTGGGACAAATTATCATAGAATCCATGACAATCTTCCTTTAATGAGTTTTAAATCCATTACTTAAATGTTCAAACTTTTTCTTCTGAATTGGTAAAGGTGCATCGTAAAGTTGGGGGAGGGCATCATATGACATAACAGTTTTATTGTTATTCAGGCGACATGGCAAATATATCCAGTCTTCTGAGTGGCGAATTTGAAACATGATGGAAACATCTGGGCTATATTTCAGAGCTCCAATGTCAGTGACTGTAGTCTCTCCTGTAGTCCTTCAGGGTCTTATAGAATTAAGAACTTGCATGTTCTCAAAATTTTTACAAAATGTATAGTCTAAGTACTGGACAGTGTAGGGTTTTGGGTTCAGATGTGCTGATTGGCAGATTTCTACGTAATCAGCTGGGACATTTATAACTCTCTTTTTGAGGTTCCTTTTAATTCTTGAATGCATGGCATCGCATTCCATTTGCATGTGTCCCTTTCCAAGATATTTTTGCTCAATTGTTGTTTGACTTTCTCGTGATAAGTTTAAAAGGACACTTGAAAGCAAGGCATTCCTGTTTTGACAGGTGCAACCATCACTATAAAAATAATCTTGCTTGAAGCTTCATTTTCCTGTATTATGTGGTTTCTGACGAAACTATACAAGATTGATATAAAAATGTTGGCTGTCAGTCCTTCTTGTCCCTCGTGCCAAATATAGCAATAACCATCCTTCGTTTTCATATTGAACACTGTAAAATTGTGGACAACTAGTTTTGTCTTGTAGTATAAGGAGCAGACAGTGGACTTCTGACATAACAATACAGACTGCAAATCCATCGTATATACCTTGCAATTTTCTGCTTATTTGTCTTTTTGTTTTTCTTTTCGAGCTTCCTCTTTTTTAACTTGATGTTCATCAAATATATATTTGCACATGTTCCCTGTTTTATAAACTACACGCTTGTTGCATTTGTCTTTTTTTTGGTGAAAATAGTGTGATGTTTTGATCGTCAAGCATGTTTGTAAAAGGTGCAACAGATAATGATAATAAGTTGTTCTTGGTACATCATTCGTTTTTATAAAGCCTGTAAAGCTCCAATTTGGAGGTCCAAACTGGTTCTCAATAATGAGAGTCCATTTTGGGTAAGGTATTTAAAAATAATATTAAGCCATCTTTTTGTTTGTTTCTTTTCAACTGACTGGGATTATGCTGTTTTTGTCCTGCAATATCTTCGGAACGATCAATATTTTTTCAAGAAGTCAATAGCCAACTGTCCTTTTTGGTATGCTAAAAGTATTGCAGAACATTGTTTTGCATACTTTTAATTTGCTACTTTGTTTGTTAAGAAAGTATGAATACGCTCATCTTGACTGGTCTTCTTGCTGTCGGTTTCTAGTTCTTTTAGTTGGGCATTTATTTACCAATGTAGTAACATAAATTTGTTTCTCGGACCAGGACAGCTTCCAGAAACGATCAAAAAGTTTGGTTCTATCATCATCTGTCAAATCCTTGCACTTTAGGCCAGTTTTTCTGTCACATTTATACCTATCTCCAACACTTTTCATTTTTTAAAGATCTTATAGTCCCATTTTCCTTAATTTTTCTGTTTTCCTAGATACTGTTGTCCTGATTGCCTTTTGCTTCTCAGAGTCCTTTTTCCATTCATTTTGATTTGCTTGACGTTTCATTCTTCTGCTTCTGCTTTCAATTATTACTTCATTTCATTGAATTTTACCTTCATCAGTTCTAGGCACAAGGATGTTACTTTCTTCAGTATCTCCCTCAGAGTCGAAAGAATTTGGTTCTTCTCCATGTAGAATATCATAGGTCGGGTCAGTCAGGTCGTTATTATCATTCGGTATATGCCCCTTAAAATTGTCACAACCTCAAAATTTAATACATCTGGCAAAGAGGCAGAGGTATTAAATCAGCTTATTGGACTACAAGATTCATCTCCAGACATAAGAATCTGCTCAGGCAAATCCATTTTTGAGTCCTGCAAATTTTCGCAACTGTTTTGTAAGTTTTTGACGGCTTCATTGGCCATTTTAAGCAAATCGTTATCATTAACTGCAGCTTTGTACTCAGTGCAAACTCCAGCAAGGGATAAAATGAAAGCAATACTACATAAAAAGCAAAACGCCAAGTAAAACTGTATTAGAAATTTGCCTATGTGCATTTGTTACTATATCACTTACTTGATGTAGAAATTTGCCTAACTTCACGCCGATATTAAAACTTCGTAAGATTACAAAAATTCATAAAAACTTTGGGCTAATTACATACTACAACTATTGAAAGTTTTGGTAAAATGCTGATTTCAATATTTCAAAAATGGTTTTACATACATTTTCAATTTAAAAAAGCA